GTTATAAGATTCGTAGCGGGAAAATTTTTGGAAAAAGAGATGTGAGTGTTTGTTTTTTATTTATCATCATCATCATCAATACAAAGAGCATCATTATCATTATCAATAAATGTTATATCGCCAACATAACAATTCCTAGCAATAACATTAAATACAAGTTTTCACATTAGTTATTATTGTACATGATCATCGTCATCTAAATTTTCACATTGTCATCAATGCTATTATCATTATCATCATCTTCGTCGTTATCATCATTATCAATACTATTATTATCTTCATCGTCATCATCTTCTTCCTCCTCCTCCTCATCATCATCATCCTCCTCCTCATCATCATCATCATCTTCATCATCGTCATCATCATCATCATCATCGTTGTCGTCGTCTATGTTGTCGTTATCACCATTGTTCTAGTTTTATAATTGACTGTCCGTATTTATGATTGAGTCATTTGGTCTCTATCATAATGTCATCATCATCATCGTCGTCGTAATCATCATCATCATCAACAACAACAACATCATCATCATCATTCTAAAATACTATAGTGACGTCATCTTGAATATAGCCATCATCATCATCATCGTCGTCATCGTCGTCACTTCTGTAATCCATTTCCTCTCATTTTAGTAATCGTTAGCATTATCTCTCCATCAAAATCATCATTATTATCACCGTCCAAATAATAATAATAATCATCATCATCAAAACCTAACCCCAACAACACAACCATTATCATCATCATCGAAACATCGTCATCATCATCCTAATCATCGAAACATCGTTATCACCAAATATCTCTCCGCTACCCCGAATAACAACTTGCGTCATAATTTACAACGCCATCATCAACATTACCGACACAAACACACACTCACACACACAAACACATACATACACAAACACATACATACACACATCCACACGTACATATACTGTGTGATATAATTTGTTAAGCGCTATAAAAACACAGCCAGTGTTTGTAATGAAAACAATTATTTAATGGCCCTTGCTGGATGATCTTGTCGCGTTCTTTTTCCTTCCCTCATTTTTTTCTCTCCCTCTCTCTTTCTTTCTTTCCATATTTTTGAAATTTTGGTCTCTCTCCTTTTTTCTCTCTCTCTTCCTCTTTTTCTCTTTCTCTCTCTGTGTATTTCTCTCACATTCTCTTTCTTTTTCACTGTCTCTCTGTCTCTCTCTTTCTTTCTGTTCATTTTCTTTATCTATCATACCTTCTCTTTTGGGTTTTTCCTCTTTCTCTTTTTATATCTATCATCCTATTTCCATGTCTGTTTAATTTTCTCTACTTTTCTCTCTCTTTCTCTCTTTCTTTCTCTAACACACACACACTCACAAAAATACACACACAAACATATATATATATATATATTGATTAATTTCAACGTATTATAATTTAATAATGTATAAACGGATATGCAGCATATTTTTCTATTTATTTATTTTTATAGTATTCTACTTTTTCAGAGTTTTCAGTTTAAAAATTTAGTTTTTACAATCTTATTTATTGCGTTAGTGACTTTCCATAACTTGAAATAACTATCTTATTTCAAAGTCAAAACATTGTTGTAACCTATTTAAATTTTGCTCTGGTTTTGCCGGCCGCTTTATTTTGTTGCTGCAGCTCTCATTTCGACATTTGGGGATGTCTTCGTCCGACACGTCTCACAGATCCGGAAAATTAGGCAACGATCCGGATGAAGATGAAAATTCTTTGAAGTCATTGCATTTTAATAATGATAGCAACATCAATACATTGGGTCTGATGGTTTTTGGTTTTCTATTTTAAAAAAAATTAATTTAATTTTATATTAAATTAGTAATTTTATTTATTTTTAAATTTGTATTGTGAAATAATTTCATTATAATTTTATATTCCATAGTTATAAAGTTGTAAAAAAAATGAATTATATTGCAATAACAATAATGAATAAATAAATAAAATGAATTTTTTTTAAATTAAATTTATCAAATCATTATTAAATTAATAAACATTATTAATTGAATATTAATTGAATATTAATATTTTGTAACCAACATTTATTTGTTACATTTTTAAACAAACATCAATCATCACACAATCTATCATCGAATCGAATTGACCAATCACAGATTGTTCTGGTAGAGAGATCATACCCCAGTTTGCTCGCTACATACCGAACCTACTTAACACGTTCGATTTTATCAAGCAAGTTGGTTCAGGTTGGTAGTGTTGTTAATTTTTACCATTTATTATTGTTGTGTTCATAAAACATCATTTTATAAATATTCAATTAAATTAGAAAATAAAATGAAAAATTTTTTTTCTTCCAGGTACATTCAGTTTAGTATATCTGGCTTCGTTAAAACGGCACCCAGAGGTAAAATTTGCCCTGAAATATATTCTGCCAACAAGCCATCCATCCAGAACTGAAAATGAATTAAGATGTCTCAAAGAGCTTGGGTATTTATTTGCTTATTTTGGTGTTTTTGGTTTGTGTATTGATTCATTTTTCATTGGCAGAGCATTTTTGTGTGTATATTTTGTATCTTTTCTTTGTTTGTGTATTTTTGCCTATTTTTTAGTTTACTTTTTGAGTTTATAAAATCTAATTTAAAATTTTATTATTTAATTTCAATAAATTGCTATTACGCTAATTATCTCATTTCAGAGGTTCTGATAACATAATTGGATTGACAACTTGTGTCAGGCATTTAAATGACGTCATCATTGTCATGCCACATTTTCACCATCAGTGGTTTCAGGTTTGTTTGTCATTGACGTCATCGTTTTTGTTGAGGGTGATGAAGATAATGTCATTTCCTACCTGTAATGTTGTTTTTGTTTACGTTTTTGTTGATGTTTGTGTGTAATTGATGCAATTGTTGTTGCTGTAGTTTGAGTATCAGTGTTTTTATACTGTTGAATAATTTAGCTAAGTAATATTTACTATAATAGGGTTAGTAAATAAATAAGTCCTAATTCGAGATAATTTCCAACCTAAATGACGTTGCTGTATCAGGATTACGTCTGGGACTTGAGTGCCAGGGAAATCCAGTTCTATATGAGATCCCTGCTTGGTGCTCTCAACAAAATCCACCACAGCAACATCATCCATAGGGATGTCAAGCCTAGCAATTTTCTCTATAACAGGACTGAAAAGAGGTTGTTTGTCTTGGTATCAGTCTGTCTGTCTGTTTATCAAAACTTTATTAATTAATTACACTGGTTTGTCTGCCAGTTTGCACTTGCACCATTAAAAATATTGCTTTGGTTTATTAGTTATGTTGGTTGTTATTTCAATATAATTAATTTTATTATTATTTTGTTATTAATAATTGTTATTATTTCATTATTGATAATTATTATTTTATTAATAATAATAATTATTATTATTTGGTCATTCAAGGTTTGCCCTGATTGATTTTGGCCTGGCTCAGAAAGTTCAAACGAGACTCCATCAAAATAAGACGAATGAAAAATCCTCATCAACCAGAGCAACATCGTCGTCATCGTCGTCATCTTTGCCGGCAACAACAACAACGATTACGACATCTGTATCTGTAAATAACTTCAACAACAACAATAATAATATTAATAAAAATAATAATGATGATGATGGTGCTGATAGTGAGAATGAAGAGAATAGGCCAATAATAAAAGATGATTTTGTTAAAAAATTTTCAAAAAGATTTCACAAAAATTACTCTTCCCTCAAGTTAGCATTATCATCTTCCCAATCAGACCAAAAACAGTGCAGATGCTATGGGAAGCCGAATGTCTGTCGCATCTGCTTAGCTAAGTTAGTTTATTTTTTATTATATATCCTTGGATTGCTGTTCAATAGTTTGTCAGGAAGTGTGATTGTTTGACTGATTGTGGCTAATTGATTAATTGATTGTTTGATTGATTATTGGATTGATTGACTGATTATTTGATTGTGATTAATTAGTTGATGGATTGATTGATTGATTGACATACAGGCCTCCTCAGTACGTAGCCAGAGCAGGCACACCAGGGTTTCGGCCCCCTGAGGTTCTCATGAAGTACCCACATCAAACTACTGGTAAGTTGATTGGTTGGTCTGGTCTGTTAGCTTAATTTTTATTGGCCATTTGGTTTGTTAGTTTAATTATGATCTGTTGTTTAGTTTGTTGGCTTAATTTTGATTGGTTGTTCCATATGTTAGTTTAATTTTGATTAGTTGTTTGGTCTTTTGCTAAATTTTGATTGGCCGGTTGTTTGATTGAATCGTATTTTTAATTTGGCGGTTATTTATTGTATTATTATTGCTATGGTTTTTTATTGTTACTATAATTAATTAATTAAATAATAATTGATTAATTAATAATTATTTGACGACTGATCTGCGAACAGCTGTTGATACTTGGGCCGCTGGCGTCATCTTTCTGTCGCTGCTCTGCGGCAAAAATAATCTGATCAAGAGTCCTGACGACATGACGTCACTGCTGCACATCACACAATTGGTGGGATTTCAAAAGATGAAGAATGCCGCCTCTGCTATTGGTCGGTTTAACGCTTGACTCTGATTGGCTGTTCAATTTAATGTCGTCATCGTTGATGTTTGGATTTATAATGTTAATGTTTATGCTGACGTAATTCGTAATTTATGCACGAATGAACCAATGGTTCAATGAATTGATTAATTTAACTTTCTTTCATTTAATCAATCAATCCATTCATTCATTTATATATCACTCAATCATTTAGTCAGTTATTTATTCAGCACTATTTGTTCATCCACCATCATTAATTCACTTGTTCACTCCATTCATTCATTCATTCATTCATTCATTCATTCATTCATTCATTCATTCATTCATTCATTCATTCACCCATTCATTCATTCATTCATTCACCCATTCATTCACTCATTCATTCACTCATTCCTTCACGATATTTGTCTAGGTAAAAACTTTCTCTGCTCACCTGAGCATCCACCTAACGACTTGAAAAGTCTGTGCACTGAAATTAGGAAATCTGTCATTACGGCCAGGCTGAGTCGTCGTAATCGTCCTGATGAAGATGATGATGGTGGTGGTGAAAATAACGACGGTGTTGATAATGATAATGACGTTAATAATAATAATAATAATAATAAGAACACTACTACTACTGCTGACATTAATAATAATAATAACGATGGTACTGATGATGTTCCCGCAGTGATCGCTGCGAATTTTATAAGCGCTCTCCCCGACTCTACATTCGAACTGTTGCAATCCTTGCTAGATCCCAATCCTCTAACACGGATCTCCGCTTCTTCCGCTCTCAACCATCAGTACTTTAGCTATTCTTTTGACTGATTGGTTGATTGACTATTTGGTTGGTTGGTTGATTGATTGAAAAACTACTCGTTATTTTTTATTTTTTTATAGACTCTTGCGATTAAATAAAAAGATAGATAGATAGATAGATAGATAGATAGATAGATAGATAGATAGATAGATAGATAGATAGATAGATAGATAGATAGATAGATAGATATCAATATTTAATTTGTACACTTTTTTGAAATTTTCTTACACTTCAGAAACTGACTTTTTTATTGAATATGAAAATATTTTTGATATATTCATTATTATTACTAACTGGTCTGCTAGTCTTAATAAGCTACGACGTTTTATAAATACTTTTTTTCCTGGATTGTTTTTCATTTATTAAAGTACAGATACACCGGATGGATATACGCCAAATAAGTACACACATATGTATCTTCAAAAAAATGTGGTTTCCGTGTTTTTACTTGTCTTGTTGTTGTCTTGACGCGCTAATACTGCAATGTGTGTGTTAATGTGAATGTGTGTGTGCGCGATCAAATTTTTTTATCCGGAAGAGGTATGAAAGTGTAACTAAACAAATTCGTTCACCCATCCGTTCCTCCATCCATCTACACGCAATAGCGGCAGCCAATGAACGCTCAGCATTTCGAGATGACGTCAGATCGAATTGCTGTTTGCACTTCTGCTGCTCATGGTAGTGATCACGTGACGACGATGGATGATGATGATGGTTATGTTAATTTTTCCATTATAATTACTTATGTTAATTATAACAACGACAAACTAATGGTATTTCTAATGCTATGAAGAATGACAAATGCTGTATCATTTAAATCGATGGTGATGTCAATGATGATGATAGGAAAAAGATGATGATGATAGGAAAAAGATGATGATGATGAGGAGGAAGATGATGATAAGGAAGAAGATGATGGTGAGGAGGAAGACGATGATGATGTTCTAGGTACTTGAGTTGCATGTTACGGAAGTATATTTTTTGTTCCCGTACTACCAAATGGTTAATATTCCTTTGATGATGAGGAAGATGAACAGGAAGATGATGATGAACAGGATGATGATGATGACGATGGCAAATGATGACGTTGACGACGGTTTATGATGATGATGGTTATGATGTTACGACGACTTAGAGTTGTATGCGTTAATATTTTTTGTACACACTCTTGTGTACAACTTCGGCACATCTATAACATCTATAAAACACACACACATAAATATATATATATATATATATATGTGTGTGTGTGTGTGTGTGTGTGTGAGTGTGTGTGTGAAAGAGAGAGAATGGCGTAAGAGTGTGTGTGTGTGTGTGCGTGCGTGTGTGCACGTTGATGCATTGATACTTCAGCATGAAAATATACATCATTTGAGAGATCCGTTATTTGTCCATGAAACTCGTACAATTGTTATATTATCTTTGGAGTTATTGTCATATGCACACATTATCGCCCACTTAAGCGATGAATCAAAGTCAATCTGAGTGTCTTCTCTATTTTTATGATTCTCTCTTTCACTCATTCACTCTCTCTTTCTCTCTCTGTCTCTCTCTGTCTCTTTCTTATATTTTTCCATTTTCCAACATCCTCTTTCTCTCTCTCTCTCTCTCTCTCTCTCTCTCTTTCTCTCTATCTTTTTTTCATTTTCTCTCTCTCTCATTATTTGGAAAAATATGTTGACCAAAATCAAATAACGCACTGGGAAAAGAAATGGAAGAAGTTCTAAATAAAAAAAACGTTTTTCAAAATACCATAAAATAAGCAAACAGACAATGAAGTTATTTTTTGTACTGCAAGAATTAGACGTCTAGCTATTGTTGTGCTGTGACCAGGTTTGACTGCAAAGAGATCTTCGCCTACCACATGCACTGTGTGTGTGTATGTGTGTATGTGTGTGTGTGTGTGTGAATATATTATTATTGTAATAGTAGTTACTATTAATATTGTTGTTTTTGTAGTTGTTGTTCTTATTCTTCTACGTCTTCTTTTTCTTCTTCAACTTTTTCTTCTTCTTCTTTTTATTAATTATTATTATTATTAATATTATTAATTATTATTATTATTATTATTATGGTGTGGCATGAAATTTCGATACTCGAATCGGAGCGAATATGATGATGACGACGACGATGAGGATAATTGAAGTGCTTGCTTAACATTACAATCAAATTTCCTGAGTGTGTGCATGTGTGGGCGTGCGTGTGCGTGCGTGTGGTTGCAGCTGCAGTGAGTGGGTAGTGGTGATGGTAATAATAATAATAATAATAGTAGTAGTAGTAGTAGTAGTAGTAGTAGTAGTAGTAGTAGTAGTAGTAGAGATTATTCTACTTTCTATGTTTAAATATTTACCTTTGCATCATCTCGTGTCTATGGTTTCGTCATTGAGCTATTTACCCGTCCGAGCACTTCTTACCATTGATTATCGCCCACTTATTTGAACGACCGTTGTCATTGTTGGCTCATTGGCTAGTTGGTTGGTTGGTTGATTGATTGGTTGATTGGTTGATTGGTTGGTGGGATAGTTGGTTAGTTGGTTGGTTGGTTGGTTGGTGGGCTGGTTGGTGGGCTTGTTGGTGGGCTGGTTGGTTGGTTAGTTTGTTGGCTGATTGAGTGATTGATTGGCTGGTTGGTCGTCGGTTGGTTTGCTGGCGAAATAGGATGATATCAACTAAAAAAAACGATGAAGATGCCAGTAATATAGAAGATGATGACGATGGTGATGACGATGGTGATGACGATGGTGATGATGATGACGATAGTGGTGATGAAGACGACGATGATGGCGATTATGAAATATAAAACTGAACTGTAAACACACATCACTCCATCGTATTAACTTCCATTCTCAATATATGCCAATGATCGCTTTCATTATTTATACGCACACACACACACACACACACAGACACAGACACAAACACACACCCAAATACACAAACACACACATACAAACACACATACATACATAATGTTATGTTTGCCTAGCGGATTATTCAACATTGACTGCCACATACAATAAAGATGGTGATGGTGATGATGGTGATGATGATAGTGATGGTGATGATGATGTAGGTTTTAACGAATGAATAATGA